AATGCTAGGATTAAAGGTGTGAGTGCCACCATTTTCTAGCCTTTGTATTTAGTGACTGTCTGTTCTCTGACCCCAGATAAATTTATTAGAGTACACAATATTTTGGGGAACACAATACCACCACATGATCCTGTGGGAGAAATGTTTATTGCTCATTCACATGTCTTCTCTCTCTATGATGACAGGCCTGGTGCCTAGATTCCCTGTGTGAGTAAGGAAATGTTCACATTCCAGATTATAAGGAATTTCTGTAGTTCATTCTCAAAATATCAGGAATGGGTGAGAGTTTCAAGAGTGCACTGAATGTTGGTGACAGGCATTATTACAGATGTATCATCTCTCCTTTCTTCCAGGGGACCTCAGACCTACATCCCCCATGAGTGCTGAAACCCACAAAGGTAACTAACAGCTATACAAGGCCAGATAAGTCAATAGTATTCTGCTAATATATCATCTGACCCTTGAGAGAAAGGCAATGAGAAAGGAGGGAGCCTGTCTTTGCAAGACTCACAAGAACAGGAATGAGAGATGCATTCCCAGGGCAGAGTTCCTCCCATGACCCTTGCTACTTCCTTCCCATAGAAACAATAACTCCACCCACTCCCATCCTGAACACCCCACCATGAACCCCTCCTCCTTGTCAGGCAGAGTGTCACACTAATAACTGGATGCAAGAATGTAAATATGTTTTTCAAATGACTTCCCAGTGAAAGAAGTGAGCCAGGGATAGAGAAATACATTAAAAGTGCAAGAAGTGGTCAGACAATGGGAGACCCAGATAGAGCCTTTCTTTGCTCAGTGCCAGTCTCATCTTCACCCCTAGATGCCCCTGCCCTACAACACTTCCTGGACCAGCATCGAGAGCAGCTGGTGGCCCGAGTGACATCAGTGGACCCTCTCTTGGACAAACTGCATGGTCTGGTGCTGAATGAAGAGGATTATGAGGCGGTGCGGGCTGAAGCCACCAACCAAGGAAAAATGAGGAAGCTCTTCAGCCTCAGTAGATCCTGGACCAGGGCCAACAAAGACCAAGTCTACCAAGCTCTGAAGGAGACCCATCCTCATCTGATCAGGGAACTCCATGAAAAGTCAAGCAGCATTTCTCTGGGATCCTGACATCTTAGTGGCTGTGGCATGAGCACTCCCCTCAGAGTCATGGGTTTACCTGATTTTCCTTTGACCTTCAATTTCTCCATCTACAAACCAGTGGTCATCTGAGTTGCCTCTCTGATAGCACTGTTATCAGGACACCTTTTGGGGATCCAGATGCCCCTCTTGACCTTTCCCAGCCAGATGGTCACGTGGGATGAGCATCTCAGTAAACATCCAGTGGAGTCAGCAAGTCTATTCAGCCCTTGTCCAGTCTGTTCTTAGTGCCTGAGTGGCTAGTCTCATGCCCACTTGGCGCATGATAGTATAAGCAGTACTGGGGAGCATGGAAATAGAGACAAATAGAAGGTACTTTTCTCTGGAAAGTATATGTCTTATAATAGGAAAGGAAGAGAGCTTCTTAAAGATTTTCCACCCTCAGTTTGGTTTTATGTACTAATTTAATTTCCATTTCCAGGTCTCAAATAGTTTATTCATTTCATTCCACTATTTGGGGGATATTATCTGGATTTTTTATTTTATAATTTAATTTAATTTTACATATCAGCCATGGATTCTCCTGTCCTCCCACCGACCAACCGCCCATTCCCATCTCCTCCAGGGCAAAGACTCCCCTGGGCATTCAGCTCAACCTGGTAGATTCAGTCCAGGCAAGTCCAGTCCCCTCCTCTCAGGCTGAGCAAAGTATCCCTGAATAAGCCCAAGCTTCCAAACAGCCAGCTCATGCATGAAGGACAGGTCCCGGTCCCACTGCCTGGGTGCCCCCCAAACAGTTCAAGCTAATCAACTGTCTCACTTATCCAGAGGGCCTGATCCAGTTGGGGGTTCCTCAGCTATTGGTTCATAGTTCATGTGTTTTCATTAGTTTGGCTACTTGTCCCTGTCCTTTTTACAAGCTTGGTCTCAGCAATCTCGCTCTTACAATCCCTCCTCTTTCTCACCAATTGGACTCCTGGAGCTCAACCTGGGGCCTGGCTGTGGATCTTTGCATCCCCTTCCCTCAATCATTGGATGAGATTTCTAGCATGACAGTTAGGGTGTTTGGCCATCCTATCACCAAAGTAGGTCAGTTCGGGCTTTCTTTCAACCATTGCCAGTAGTATATTGTGGAGGTATATTTGTGGATTTCTGGGGACCTCTCTAGCACTTTGCTTCTTCCTATTTCCATGTGGTCTTCATTTATCATGGTCTCTCATTCCTATTTTTCCCTCTCTGTTCTTGATCCAGCTGGGATCTCCCACTCCCCTAAGCTCTCTTTCCCTCAAACCTTGCCCCTCCTTACCCCCACTCACGTCCAGGTTGTTCATGTAGATCTCATCCATTTCTCTGTCACTGGGAAATCCCTGTGTCTTTCTTAGGGTCCTGTTTTCTAGATAGTTCCCTGGAGTTGTGAGTAGCAGGCTAATCATCTTTGTTTTACATGTAGTATCCTCCTATGAGTGAGGACATACCATGTTTGTCTTTCTGAGTCTGGGTTACCTCACTCAGGATGATTTTTTCTAGATCCATCCATTTGTGTGAAAACCTCATGATGTCATTGCTTTTCTCTGCTAAGTAGTACTCCATTGTGTATATGTACCACATTTTATTTTTTTACTGCTGAGTAATATTCCATTGTGTTTATGTGACACATTTTATTTATCCATTCTTCAGTTGAAGGGTATCTAGATTGTTTCCAGGTTCTGGCTATTACAAACAATGCTGATATGAACATAGCTGAGCAAGTGCCTTGGGTATATGCCCAAGAGTGGTATAGCTGAGTCTTGGGGGAGATGGATTCCCAATTTTCTAAGAAAGCGCCATATTGATTTCCAAAGTGGCTGTACAAGCTTGCATTCCCACCAGCAGTGGAGGAGAGTTCCCCTTGCTCCACATCCTCTCCAGCATAAGCTGTCTTCAGTGTTTTTGATCTTAGCCATTCTGACAGGTGTAAGTGGTATCTCAGAGTTGTTTTGATTTGAATTTCCCTAATGATTAGGGATGTTGAGCAATTCCTTAAATGTCTTTCAGCCTTTTGAGCTTCCTCTGTTGAGAATTCTGTTTAGTTCTATACCCCATTTCTTAATTGGACTGTTGGGCATTTTGATGTCCAATTTCTTGAGTTCTTTATATATTCTGGATATCAGCCCTCTGTCAGATGTGGGGTTGGTGAAGACTTTTTCCCATTCTGTAGGCTGTCGCTTTGCCTTGTTGACCACATCCTTTGCTCTATAAAAGCTTCTCAGTTTCAAGAGGTCCCATTGATTGATTGTTTCTCTCAGTGTCTGTGCTACTGGTGTTATATTTAGGAAGTGATCTCCTATGCCGATATGTTCAAGACTACTTCCTACTTTCTCTTCTATCAGGTTCAGAGTAGCTGGATTTATGTTGAGGTCTTTGATCCACTTGGACTTAAGTTTTGTGCATGGTGATAGATATGGATCTACTTGCAGCCTTCTACACATTGACATCCACTTGTGCCAGCACCATTTGTTGAAGATGCTTTCTTTTTTCCATTGTACAGTTTTGGCTTCTTTGTCAAAAATTATATGTTCATAGGTGTGTGGATTAATGTCAGGGTCTTCAATTCAATTCCATTGGTCTACATGTCAGTTTTTATGACAGTACCAAGCTGTTTTTATTACTGTAGCTCTATAGTAGAGCTTGAGGTCAGGAATTGTGATGCCTCCAGAGGTTGTTTATTGTACAGGATTCTTTTGGCTATTCTGGGTTTTTGTTTTTCCATATGAAGTTGAGTATTATTCTTTCCAGGTCTGTGAAGAATTGTGTTGGTATTTTGATGGGGATTGCATTGAATCTGTAGATTGCTTTTGGTAAGATTGCCATTTTTACTATGTTAATCCTGCCTATCCATGAGCATGGGAGGTCTTTCCATTTTCTGACATCTTCTTCAATTTATTTTTCCAGGGGCTTAAAGTTCTTGTCATATAGGTCCTTCACTTGCTTAGTTAGAGTTACACCAAGGTATTTTATATCATTTGTGGTTATTGTAAAGGGTGATGTATCTCTGATTTCCTTCTCAGCCTGTTTGTCAATTGTATATAGGAGGGCTACTGATTTTTTTGAGTTGATCTTGTATCCTGCTATGTTGGTGAAGGTGTTTATAAGCTGTATCAGTTCCTTGGTTGAATCTTTGGGGTCACTCAAGTATACTATCATATCATCTGCTAATAGGGAAATCTTGACTTCTTGCTTTCCAATTTGTATCCCCTTAATCTCCTTATGTTGTCTTATTGCTCTGGCTAGATCTTCTAGTACTATATTGAATAAGTATGGGGAGAGCGGACAGCCTTGCCTTGTTCCTGATTTTATTGGAATCACTTTGAGTTTCTCTCCATTTAATTTGATGTTGGCTGTTGGCTTGCTGTAAATTGCCTTTATTATGTTTAGGTATGTTCCCTGTATTCCTGATCGCTCCAAGACCTTTATCATGAAGGGTGTTGGGTTTTATCAAATGCCTTTTCTGCATCTAGTGAGATGATCATGTGGTTTTTTTTCTTTGAGTTCGTTTATATGGTGTATTACATTGACAGACTTTCATATGTTGAACCACCCTTGTATCCCTGGGATGAAGCCTACTTGATCATGGTGGATAATTGTTTTGATGTGTTCTTGGAGTCTGTTTGCCAATATTTTATTGAGTATTTTTGCATCAATGTTCATGAGGGAGATTGGACTGTAGTTCTCTTTCTTTGTTGCATCTTTGTTTGGTTTAGGAATCAGGGTAATTATAGATTCATAGAAGGAGTTTGGTAATGTTCCTTCTGCTTCTATTGTGTGGAACAATTTAAAGAGTATTGGTATTAATTCTTCTTTCCAGATCTGGTAGAATTCTGCGCTGAAACCATCTGGTCCTGGGCTTTTTTTTGGTTGGGAGACTTTTAATGACTGTTTCTATTTCCTTAGGGGTTATTGGACTATTTAAATAGTTTATTTGGTCTTGATTTAACTTAGGTTTGTGGTACCTTTCCAGAAAATTATCCATTTCTTTTAGATTTTCCAGTTTTGTGGAGTAGAGGTTTTTGAAGTATGACCTGATGATTCCCTGAATTTCCCCATTGTCTGTTGTTATGTCCCCCTTTTCATTTCTGAATTTCTTAATTTGGATGCTCTCTCTTTCTCTCTGTCTTTTGGTTAGTTTGGATAAGGGCTTGACTATCTTGTTGATTTTCTCAAAGAACCAACTCTTTGTTTCATTAAATTTTTGTATTGTTCTCTTTGTTTCTATTTTATTGATTTCAGCTCTCAATTTGATAATTTCCTGGCGTCTATTCTTCCTGGGAGACTTTGATTCTTCTTGTTATAGAGCTTTCGGGGTTGCTGTTAAGTCACTAGTGTGAGATTTCTCCAACTTCTTTATGTGGGCATTTAGTTCTATGAATTTCCCTCTTAGCACTGCTTTCATAGTGTCCCATAAGTTTGGGTATGTGGTGTATTCATTTTTATTGATCTCTAGGAAGTCTTTAATTTCTTTCTTTATTTAGTTCTTAACCCATTGGTGATTCAGTTGAGCATTATTCAGTTTCCATGAGATTGTAGGTTTTTTGTAGGGTTTTTTTTTTTTTTGTTGTTGTTGTTGTTGTTGTTGTTGTTGTTGAAATCTAACTTTAAACCATGGTGGTCTGATAGAATGCAGGAGGTTATTCCAATTGTTTTGTATCTGTTGAGATTTGCTTTGTGGCCAAGTATGTGGTCAATTTTAGAGAATGTTCCATGGGGTGCTGAGAAGAATATATATTCTTTTTTGTTAGGATGGAATGTTCTGTAGATATCGATTAAGTCCATTTGAGTCATAACATCAGTTAAATCCTTTATTTCTCTGCTAAGTTTTGATTTGGGAGATCTGTCCAGTGGTGAAAGTGGGATGTTGAAGTCTCCCACTATTAATGTGTGGGGTTTTATATGTGATTTAAGCTTTAATAATGTTTTACATATTTGGGTGCCCTTGTGTTTGGGGCATATGTGTTGAGAATTGAAACTTCATCTTGGTGGATCTTCCCTTTGATGAGTATGTAATGCCCTTCTTGATCTCTTTTGATTGATTTTTAGTTTGAAGTCTATTTTGCTGGATATTAGGATGGCTACACCCACTTGCTTCTTAAGACCATTTGATTGGAAAGTCTTTTTCCAGCCTTTTATTCTTAGGTAGTGTCTATCTTTGAATTTGAGATGTGTTTCTTGTATGCAGCAGAAAGATGGGTCCTGCTTTCGTATCCATTCTGTAAGCCTGTGTTTTTTATAGGTGAATTAAGTCCATTGATATTAAGGGATATTAATGACCATTGATTGTTCATTCGTTATTTTTTTTTATTTTTTTTATTTTTGGTGGTAGAATGTGTGT